TTGTGACGAGTAAGTTGCCTTTCGCAAGTGCAATGCATACTACGGCGAGTAAATGTGCCTCTAAAGCAGAATGTTGCAGATGCTATTTCATAGGTTGAATCGGAAACGCTGGCAGCTTTATAAGCTAGTGATATCGAACCTATGCTCACTTCCTTTTCCTTGGCACTCCGAAAAGTCGGATGGTAATCACTTTTGATTCGGGCAACGCTCTTAAAAGGATAAATACTTAAGGATCTAAGCCTTAAAGTCCCTGGGAGGGTCTATAACGTAAGCATACAGTACGATTGACTACATATACATTTATAGAGCGTTTGCCAGTCCATTCTGTCGTGCCCTGTCTATTTTCCAAGAGTCCCAGTTTGAGAAAAAAGGAGAAACACACGTCCATCGCTGGGATAACACACACGGGGCTGGGCGACGTGGGTGCCATAGCCGCAGCAAACCCGCGCGGAGAGCCCGCGAAGCAGGGCCGCGCGGTATTTGCGGAGGCGGGCCCAGCGCTGAGCTCACCAGCGAGCCGAGCACTACACTTTCCAGAGCATTCTATCTCCATATTGCGAGCGCAGCGACCGCGGGGCGCCGAAGGGGCGCCCAGCCAAGCGAAGCGCGGCTGGTCCCTTTTCTGCTGTGACCTCTAATCGTCGATTATGTCTTATTGCGACACTCTGAAGGTCAAAAGTATACAGAAGTCAAGTCAAATGATTTGCTGTGTGCTGAAACAGTAAATACATGTGCGTGGCATGTTCTGTCTCCCAGTTTGGGACTCTAACTCGACCAGAATGATACCTCCATAATAAATAGCCATACGCCATTGGTAGAAATTGCGAGAAACGGCAATCTTATCGATAACATTTTTGGAGGCCCTGGTAGGGACTCTAAAACGACCTCCGGTCTTAAAGGGCCTAATTGAGCCGGGTTTGACTGATGAAACTCAAAATTTTAAGGTTTTAAAGCAATTACTAGCGCTGGCGCTCGATGTAAAGGGTAGATGCAGGCTATTAGCGCTGCAGGGGTCCGAATTTTTTTCAGTATCACTAAAATCAGTTTTTTTTAATATAAAAATGGCTTTTTATTGCAAATTTCCTTAAAATATTATTTTGAAATTGTTTCAATATTTGCAGTATAATTTACAAAAGTAGGCTCATAGAAACTTCAGGTGCCTTACGAAACAAGTGGACGTCAGAAGCCGCCTCAGCACCATATCTTGAGGTCTGAAACGCTCATACTAGCTCTAAGTTATAAATCGGATAGCCAATCATTACCTCAAAGTCCACGAACAAGCAACTTGCAATGGACTGCTCACTTTATTATTCCCACTTCCGAAAGCACCCTTCCTCAAGAACGATGCCCGCCAACAAAGACACATACGCTTACTCTTACGATACCCTCGGCAAAAGCCACTTCCGCTGCAAGCAGGGCGGTAGTGAGCGCAAACAGCTCCCCAACTCTGGCTACTCAAACCTCATGGCCCACCTGACGCTCAAGCACGAAGACTTTAAGTCCCAGTATATCGCGTCTCTGTCCAGCAACGCGGGACGTCACCAGGACTATGGCTTTGTATCCGAGGAGACGTCCTATCGTTTTCAGTGGATGTGCTGGGCTGTGGATCGGATAATGTCGCTCTCTGAAGTCGACAACGAGCTGACACGCTTTATGTCACAGTGGAAAGTCGTGTCGGCACGTATGCTTCTCAACAGCGGCACGATAAAGCTAAAAAAAGTCGACAAGACTTTTGAAACAGACATAGATACAAGTTTCGAAATAAATTTTGACGGATGGTCTCATGGCTCTATGCACTACGTTCGCGTATATGCTGTATATAAGCTGGACGGCACTCTACGTCCTCAACTTCTCGTTGTGTCACCACTCGACAGAGGGCTCAAGACGCGGACTCACACATCCAACTGTTTGACGGTATTCTGGATGTATTCGACAAGACACTCGGGATGGTGACATTTTATCATCGGTGACAGCTGCAGCACTAACCAGGTTATTGCCAACGTACATTTGGATGGATGCACCAGTCATCGATTTAAGCTTGCCGTTAACCGATACCTTGCGGATTACGAGCCGTTACTAGCGCAAGTTAGCACATTGATGTCGAAGGACAACGCCCTAAAAACACGCCAAATGTACGAAAAGCACTAATACTCAAATTATTGACATTTGCAATTGCTGAGTAGCACATTGCAATCAGCTGCAACACCGTTCACGTACCCACCTTCGCAGTCACTCATTCCATTAGCACTCCCGCTACACATTACATAAGTTAAGCCAATATTATCATGTAATTTATCAAAATCTAGCGAATCAAGTCCTCGCATTTTAGATTTCCCTGCGGTTACCACTCGGTACTTTGGGTTTCACCTCAAGACAGCCAGCTCCTTACTGCTTGGTTTGAAATATGAACGAACAGTTTTTTAATAGCGGGCAGTTAAATTTTTAAAATTATGTGCTCCGCCCTAAGCACCATAATAAGTCATGACATGACTAATTAGAGTGAACGGTGTAGAGACCTACCTACCTACGACAGTGACATGCTTCTAATCACTCAAGGACTTCGCTGTGAAGAATTGCTAGCTCTCTCCGTGCTCGCTTTGTACCCCCCCCCCCACACACACACACACAACATGCGGCCGAGACTTCTCCGCTGCAAGTGCAAGGCGAGCAAAGCTGTAGCACCATACGCGAGCTGCCCCTGGAAGGGCAACAGCCAAACGTGCAGCCCATCTAATGTGGTCAGCATCTCGGAGGCTGGACAGCATGTGATGCCTCTTTGCCCTCCTCGCCGAGCCGGCTTAACGGAGGAACTGAAGTCCTCCGTGCGTGACATGTGTACCTACAGTCATAAGCCCATGAATATCTACAGCGGAATCGTCCGGCGCTTCCAAGTCCCTGATGCCGCAATATCAACGCTTGCAATAGTCCAGCGTTTCATGTAGTGCTACCGGCGTGTCCATCTCGGTGGCAGTGATTTCCACGACGACGCCACAGCAAAGGTTTGCGAGCATGCTTTCAGGGGTCAGGAGGAGCCGTCTAAGCCCTTCACCGTCACATGGCGCTCGGACGTGAGCGGGAGTCCTGTTCTTGGGTGTGGGTCGGACTCCAACGCGCTCGTTGTGGGTGTATCATCGAAAGAGCTGATTTTGTGTCTCGACCGCGACCCAGCAACGTGCGTCATGCACATTGACGCCACGTTTAAACTAAGCCAAATTAAATACCCACTCATGGTGGTGGAGATTTCTGACTGTATGAGCTCCTTCCACTTAGTTGCGTTTATAATATCGCAACAAACGGAGCGCCAAATCGCGGAGGCGCTTGCAATGCAAAGGAGGATCTACACTGCGGTGACGAACAAACAATTGTCGGCTCGATACGTCATGGCCGACGCTGACAAAGCCCAGCAGGATGCGGCGATGCAGTACTTGATGTTGAAAATGATTTGGTCAAGTTAATGGGCTACTTTCACGTAGCTGCAAAGATCTAGAAGCACACGCGAGGTATCCCTATTTCTCTTGCTGCTTGTGTCTCTCGCGAATTTGCTGATATGCACTACGTTAGGTCGGCTTCTGAGTACGAGCAGATTGAAACAAGCTGCTTGAAAGACTGGAAGAGCATACCCCAGCTTGCTGCATTTGCTAAATATTTCCCCTCCATTTCGGTTGCATCTCCGTTCAGCCGCTGACAAGCATACCACACACTACTGGGGTATGCAGCAACCAGCAATCATGTTGAGCAGTTTAGCCGCTCGATAAATCGCGACCACACCTGTGTTCTCGCCTCAAGATGGGCACGCTCATCGACCAACACCCTGCTTTGCGTCCGTACTGAAACAATCCGCTGCCGTCCATTCGCTACAGTCATCCAGGCCCTGACCTGCTCCGCCGTGTTCGTGAGATTCTGAAGGCTGCTTCCATCCGAGAAGTTTCACCACTCAAGAAAACAATTGGATTTTTGACTGATTCTACAACGCTTCCTACCGCATCAGATATCGTCTACGATGGAAGTATGTGGTACTTTTAACATAGAAAGTTTTTATGCTTATCAGAGAAACACAACTACGTTGTGTGTGTACTAGAGCGTTTGAGCGCTGTCTACCAATTATTTTAAATATCGGATTCTCAAGTTCATATGATGAAAGTGGAGCTCATATTGTCGTCACAGACCTAAATCTGGGACGACACCCTAGAATTTAGAAAGCGGTCCCACCCGCAGAAATCTGGGAGTCACCTTAGCTCAGATTTTCCGCACTCGTAGCAACGAAGGCAGAAAGCACCCTGTGCTCGTACTCGAGCTCACTGTTGCCGCGGGAGGTACGCAACAAAGGACCAGCTCGTTAGTCGCCCGGTTGTGCATTGAAACCGCCTGAGAGGCAATATATTGTGCTCCAAACGACAAGGTTTTTGTATTTAAAACGACGTGCAAACGTTCAGCTTTCTCTAGTGTAATTCTACAAGTACTATGCCAGGGCGTGCGGGCATCATGTATGTCGGAGATGAGAAGGACGTGCTGTTGCAGCGGCAGATGGAGAATTGGTGCTTGAAGATCGCAGGTATACGCTTACAAAACCAGTAGGGAGACGTGTAATTCTACAAGTGTTCTGCCAGGGTGTGCGGGCATCATGGATGTCGGAGAGGTGAAGGGCGTACTGTAGTTGCAGCGGCAGATGTGAAATCGACGCTTGAAGATCGCAGGTATACGCTTACAAAGCTCGTAAGGGAACGTGTAAATCTGGGATATAAGGTATAACAGTTTATTCGGGGGTCCGCTAGATTTTTAGTCGTTTGAGATTCCTAGACGTACTGGCTATGCACGCCTATTCCTGAGTTTGAAGTTGCGGGAATCGCTCCAGTCTTAATTTGTTTCAAGCAGTTTTTTTAAAAACCGCACTTAAAAAACTGTATTCTACCCGTAGGTTGATTTTTGTATCAGACCAGCATATAAAAATCTCAATACCTAACCGCATTTTGATTGAACATTAGAAGTTCCAGTGTGGAACTCTTTCTCAAACCAGCATGGGGAATGCAGCCACCAAAGCGCGCGAAGCTCACGCGCAGGCCAAGAGCAAGCCGAAGAACAACCGCAGTGTGCAACAGCAGAAACTCAAGTCTGCCAAAGCCACGGGCGTGCTGGCGCTACCGAATAGCAAGTTGAAAAAACTGCCCCAGGAGTTATTGGAAGTATCGACGCTGCGTACGCTCGACCTCACGGGCAACAAGCTGAGTGAACTGCCGTCACAGTTAAATAATCTCAGGGCACTCAAGACGCTTAAGGTTTCGTCCAACATCCTGGAGACACTACCGGACCTGTCGAAGCTCGAGGCACTCACCACGGTACGCGAACGTCAAATTGACTCATTACGTGTGTAAATTAATTGTTCGGTTTTGACGTGAACTGTATGCGGTTTAGCTTGTTTTGGACGGTAATCTCCTGGAGGACATTCCCAATGCGCTACCCCCGAACCTGACCAAACTCTCACTCAAGGGCAACAAACTTCGTTCGGTGCCTCGAAGTGTGTTGGAACTTTCTCAGCTTCAAGAGCTGGATATGTCAGAAAATTCTCTAGAGACGCTACCTTCGAACTTGGGCGAGATGCAGGAACTGCAGGAGCTCAATGTGGACGGCAACAATCTGTCGGAACTACCGGCTGCTCTAGGGAGATGTGGCAAGCTTAAGGTGCTGTCGGCCCGTCGGAATACTCTCGTTGGGCGGTCGGCCGGTGCTGCTGTTCAATCCATTGCTGCGGAGCTACTGGGAGAAGGCTCATCCGTCCAGGTGATGAACTTAGAAGGCAACCCCATGACTAAGGAAGATCTGCAAAGAATGGACGGCTTTGACGCGTTCCTCAGTCGACGGACGAAGCTCAAGAACAAGGAAATCCACGGCGGTCTCAACTCGGATCTGAGTCTTTGTGGGCTCGAATAGATGCTGAAAAAAACACTGAACATGTCCTTCTTGTAATTTTGACGATTAGTGCATTGTGTACTGACGCTTCTGCTACCGAACGGGGTGGTACGGAGCTGCGATATTGTTGATTCGAATGGAAACAAGAGGCGACAGCGTCGTTATGCGTGGAGATTCCAGAGGAGACGTAGACAGAGGTTTTATCTCTCGTGTCCTCGTTCCCTTGTCGCGTTCTGGCGATACAGCAGTGATCGCAGCCCTTAAATCCACTTCAGCAGTGCTCCATTCTTGCTCCAAGACTGCTATTATCGAGTCTTCATCGCTACTCTCCATCGTAAGCTCACGACTTCGGAGTGCTGCGATTCCTCGCACAATCTCCGCGAGGTTCTGAGTGACAAGACTGACCAAAGCCAGATCGATATCAGTCGAGGACTGCGCGCAAATATTCCCCACACTTTTGTCGGGATGCTTCGAGATATCGTACAAGTAGGCGCCACCGTCATGATGAGCTGCAGCTCTCCACTCCTTTTCGTGCTTAAGTTGCTGATCCCGTCGATGCAGTTTCGCGTACACAATCGACAAGTTCCGATGAGCTCGTGCGCGACCCAGACGACAGTCCAGCGCTTTAGACGAGCACAAGTGCAGATCTCGATGGTGACAGCTCAGTGCGTGACCGAAATTCAGTTGAGCGAGCGCCAAGTTGCCCAGATTCGCATACACGCGGGCTTCGAGCTCTCGATCCTTCTCTTCCAGTGCAATCTGCAGCGCTTCTTGTTGGTGTGAAAGGGCCGGACCATGAGCGTGTGAATCTAAAAACAATAAGCCCAAAGTTTTCACAGCTCGAGCCTGGAGCCGAGCATCTTTGGCTCGTTGAGCCAGCTCGAGCGCACGTCGCTGTGACGCAAATGCGTGCTTGATGCAGACCTTGGCAGCTTTACTGGTTTGTCTAGTCGACGCAACTACAAGTTCACGAAACGCCACTCCGCGATGGTGATGCAACAAGGACAATAACGCTAAACTTGATGGAGACAAAGAAGTGGAAGGCTCGAGGGATTTCAGCGCTGCTGTGAAGTGCTGAATAGCAGCGACCATAGCAGGAGGGTTCCCGTACAGTAAGAACGATCCCAGTGTGATATGTCTCGCTAAGACGTGGAGTTTTGACGCAGCGGCGGCACTTACAGCCCTCGCTGCTGCTTCCAACTCGGTTAAGAAAAAGTTCGTGTCGTCGTCATCGTCAACACCGTCATCGAGCTCCATTTCAGGCAAAGCAGCTTCGACAGAATTAATGACTGCAGTTTGGACAGCTTGTCGACTAGAGTCACTCGTTGAGCGACTATTCATTAGAGGTGTGGAGCACCGAGGAGGCGTTGTAGTGCCATCGAGAGATTGGTATCCACGTAGGGTCGACGGTGCAGTAGAGATACGTGCTAGCGTTTTAGCAGACCCCTGACGGTGAAGTTCTTTTCGAGCGTAGCGTGAGAGAGGGCGAGCATTCATTACGAGATCCTGGAGAGATTCACTGTCCATGGAACTGGACAATCTTGCCGTTGTAGTTTCCAGCAATGTACGAGCACTAGATGGAAACGATAACGAATGAAGTCGAGGTGACATTCCTTCATCTTCCCAAGCTGGCGAGGCCAGACTTAGTTCTCCGCGAAGTGCCACTTGTCTGGATGGTGGTCGTTGTGACGGAGCCATCGTCGCTGGGAAAATTGAGTCAAACTCGTCTGGAGGTGCCACTTCTTGCTGGTTGGAGCTCAGTTTGGGGACGATCGGAGGAATCGCGCGTCTGGACAGCTCGTCCGAATCATGAACGCGTGGTTTCTGCTGCAACGATCCATTGCGCGACGGCGGTCGAGTTTTGGCGCTGTACACGTCTCGCCTAGCGCTACCACCCGAGTCTTCTCGTTGTTTGCGAAGTACTGCCATCGTGCTTTTCTCCTGAACGTGATGTTTGTGCTGCTCAGCGTGGAAATTTGGATACATGCTTTTGACATCCATGCGCACGGGTCTTCTTTCGCTGGCCGCCATGACTACAGAAAGGTTGCCCTGAGGGTTGGCTTACAGAGACCGCCACCTCAAGAGTGCAGTCTTGGCACCACCGTATTTATAGGCTCCAACGTATTTAGGTATTGATATATAGTAGTATTTAGGTATTGCTTCTAAAGAAAGATCACTCCACTGGAGATGCTCTTAAAGACCGTGTTTCTTGAAAAGTAAACTGAAAGCTGTCATTCTTTTTTATTTCACTTCTTCATTCACTTTATGCAAAACTATCCATGCAAATCAACAATCTTGCGCGTAGTTCCAGCAATGGCCAATGTCGCTGGTATCCGAAAACTTGCTGGTCCTTGCTCGAGATGAATGCTGCTTTTCACAGCCCTACCAGCCTAGCACTTGCTTTCTTATCTCCTCGACCCATCACTGTTACAAACGTCACTTACTTACTTCTTCCGTTCAACCTCCTTTTACAATGTGGCCGTCAACGGCGCGATGTGATGTGGCGCGCTGTGTTCACGCGGCTTTCTTGAAGTGGTCGGCCGAGTCGAAGATCTTGCGCTCTGCCAGCTTGCGTTGCAGCACCACATTGCGTGCAGCGGCAGCGCCCGTGGGCGCCGCACTCTTGTCCAGTCCGTAGCGATCGCACGCCGCTTGTGACGCGTTGCTATTTGGCATTGGCTTGGCTTCTCCTGTGCCTTTCAGACCCGCGTATCGTGCTGCTCGAGCCACCAAGGCGGCCTGTGCAGCATTTGCAACCACGGCTTTGGCTGACGAGGCCACACGTCCACCAGGGTCCTCCGACAGCTTAATATGCTTCACCTGGTGATTAATGGATGCCTGCGAAGCACCCAACGCGCCATATCGCGCGGATGCCTCGCCAGGAACAGCAGGGCTAGCGGCGACATCAGCAGGCACATCAGTGGGCTGTCCCTGCTGCTCCATCGCATAATCTGCCGAGTCAAAGCGCTTCCGTTCCTTCAATTTGCGTCGAATCAGCACGTGAGCGGCCGACATCTTGCCATAGTCGGATCCTCCTGCCTGTTGCGACTTTTCAGCCATAGCAGGGTCTTCTGCCTGCTTCTTTTCAAGCAGATCGCGTCGACTGGGCTTCTTCCGGTTCTCAAGCGCCCCGTACTTGCCAGCTCGACTGGGACTCATACTGGCGAACTGACGTCGACTGGCATTCGCAACGGTGGACGCACAGGGAGAGCTCACAGCCTCCTCCTGTCTCTGCTCTACTTCACTCACATCCTCCATTTCAGTGTCCTCCTCCATGTGCCGTGCTCTGGCCATCTGATAGTCCGCCGAGTCGAACGACGCCTTGCTCTGTAATTTACGCTGGATCAGGATGTTGCGGCCCCGTTCGGCGCCTCCTGGAGGCTCGTACTGTGCCGTGGGCGTGTTGCGCTGCACATTGCGCTTGGGGCTCTCGCTCTGCATGGCGTTGAAGAAGGCCGATTGGCCGATCTTTGCCGGCGACTGAATCTGATTCTTTGGTGGAGCTTGAACTGGCGTCTGATTCGGTTGCAATTGATTCTGATACCGATTCGCAGCGCGCGCCGCCGCCTTCTTCATGGCGTCGTCTGCCGAGTCGTAGCGCTTGCGCTCCTGTAATTTTTGGCGAAGCAACACGTTGCGGGCGGATAATGCGCCGCCGTCTTCAGGGGCGCCACGGGCATTGGAAGGCGGCACCTGTGCGCCGATCTGCAGGTCCATGGCGTTCCAGGCTGCTCGGTTGCTGCCGTTAAGCCGCGCCATGCCGCGCGCTGACGACACCATCGAGTTATCCTGCGCCTGATATTGACGATAATCCATCGCAAAGAGAACGCGTGTGTGCACTAGAGCTCCAAGACCGAAATGACCACTTTGGGATCCTGTTGCGGGGTGGGATATCCAGCGAAAACTCGAGTTTTCGGGAAAGTGTCCTAATTTTTGAACAAACTTGAGTTGAGTATGGGATGTGTGAAACGGCCCGCTATTCTTCCGATTTCCGCGTCATTGTTTTTCCTTCCGCACCTCTTCGAGGCAAGTCTAATTATGGTTGGCGGTGACGACACCGAGCGGCTAAGAACAACTAGTAACTGCAGAAGAGGTGTGGAGAGCAAGCAGATCGTGCGTCCGCGCATCTCCGCCCAACGCACGCCGTGCGGCACAGCGCTTTTGATGTTTAGCGGCAGCCGATCAGGAACAGAAGCCAGCGCATGTCGCGTCCTGGCGCTTCCTCATCGAGCAAGAAGAACGATGGGCCCTGCAACTGCTTACTCAACTTTCTCCACAGACGAGAAGTTCTGCCACAAACGACGAACGCACAGTGGACTCGGCAGCAGACTGGGCGGAATGTCGTTCTTCTGGCTGCTTCTCCCACTTTGAAGCGATGGATGGCGGCAAAAGTCGAGCGAACGAGTCGAGCCCGACTCTAGGCATGCGACGCCGCCGCTGCCAAATGCGATGATTTGCCTCGAGCGGAATGAGCCAGACTTGCTACAGAGTTTGGCCGGTCACTCACTTCAATTTCACCAACACGAACCAATCGCAGCGGTGCTGTATTAATACCGTCGGTCAGTTATGGTTACCGGTATGGGCGTTATTAATACAGCTGTATTGTGCGTTCTATTCGAAATTTCCGCGGGACACGACCAGTCACCCAATCGTGTAGCCTATCATACAGAATGCGTTTTGGCGCTAATACAGAATAATCCTCTGACTCGCCATCTTCATTCATGACAAGTGCGCGGAGTCTTCAGTGCGTCACTTTAACTTCAACGTGTATCTGGTATCTTATTGGATAATAAAAAATGGTTTCTTAATTTTGACCTCTAACAACGCAGCGTCGATTTGCCGTTCGCTTCGCGCCTTTCTCCGAATCGTCCCGCTTCGGCAAATTGGGGCGGAATTGACAATATTACAACAAGTAACAAAGCAATGTTTCTCTTTTTCGAATGCTACTTCTCGTTTTCTTTCCCAGAAGACTGTCGGTAACCACGAAGTGTGACTCCGTTTCATTCTCAAGAAGGCTGTTGGGTCGTTGCTTTTGCCATGACTCATGTTGGCTCTTTACTAAGCCGCTCCAAGTCGAAGCGGCTTGCTTGCCTGGCATACATGTAGCTCATCCACACGTACTAAACGACCACGCAAAAAGCATCAGCAAAAAAAAGCAATTTCACGCTGTTTCTAAATTATTTAAGCTACGATCGATAGGAGCAGCCAGCTACATCGAAGAGGGAGCAAACGCCCGCGCCTACAACGTTGGCAACAAGATACTTCGGATCAAAAGATCGGGAACTAAGCGTTGGGGACGCGACGCTTACTTGGACATCATCATCTTGACGAACTCTTCGTAGTTGATCTGTCCATCGCCGTCGATGTCGGCCTCGCGGATCATCTCGTCGACCTCCTCGTCGGTAAGCTTCTCGCCCAGGTTGGTCATGATGTGACGCAGCTCGGCAGCCGAGATGAATCCATTGCCGTCCTTGTCGAACACCTTGAAGGCCTCCAGGATCTCCTCCTCGGAGTCCGTGTCCTTCATCTTGCGAGCCATCATGGTCAGGAATTCGGGGAAGTCAATCGTGCCGTTTCCGTCAGCGTCGACCTCGTTGATCATGTCCTGCAGCTCGGCCTCCGTGGGGTTCTGGCCCAGAGAGCGCATGACCGTGCCAAGCTCCTTGGTGGTAATGGTTCCATCGCCGTCCTTGTCGAACAGGGAGAACGCCTCCTTGAACTCGGCAATCTGCTCTTCGGTCAGCTGGTCAGCCATTGTGGTGCTTCGGTTTTCACTTGAGGGTGTCGAGGGAAATCCAACAATGATCCCATCCAAAATGAGACCGGCGCCTTTGACGGCCCTGATTTGTACGACCACGAAGAATGTGGACGGCCAAGCGGCGTACTGCGATTAGTTGATAATTTGTGGGCAATATGCGATTGGTTAAAATATGTCTGTCCGCACCAATAAATCATAATTATTAAAAAGAGCAAGGATGAACGACCATATCATGTACGACCATGATGTGGTGCGTACAAATATTTTGGTTTTGCACATTGGTGTGGCGCACACGGCTTGACAAAACGATGGATTGTGGACAGAAACGGAACAGTCAACGACACAGCGAAGATCGCAGAAAAAAAACTGATTGCTACATGCAATTGACCTTTCATAAAGATCACATTCCAGTCAGATATAATGCATGAAAGGCTTGAGCGACGAGAGAGTCACCTCGATGTGGTAGCTTCTTAGCGTGTTTAATATTGATGGCGCCAGCATTTAGTTGCCACAACGACAATAGATATTTTTAGTATATTTTTAATTTTTCAAACCTTAGGGCCTATTTCCTGCTCGGGGATTTGAGGCGGTCGGTGCAGAGCTGTTTACAGCATCTGTTATTAATACATGTATTAATGGTCCTGATGTTTGTAAAACAGCTATTTTATCATTTTTGGGGGGGAAAATTAGGGACCTGCTTTGGTTGATTTTTGCCGATCCCCCTTTTTTGGCTGTAAAAAAGGCCCTTGGAAATGGGCCTGCTTTTCCAAATTTTGGCCCTACATGCAGTAAATAACCCATACACTACAGCGTATTTAATGCGTGTCGAGTGTGGAGATGATAATTTGTAACAGGCATTGTTAAATTATTGATAAATAGCACCTTGTTTAAATTTATGCCCTGAGGTGATATAGTATACTGTAAGTTTTTAAAAAGAGCACCTGAAGCAGAGAAAGTTTAAGGTTTTTAAAAAGAGAGTGACTATATTGACCGACTGAGTTAACCTTCCCCTACAACTTTTAGACGCGCTCCCATCCGTACGATGTATACAGTGTGTACCATGTATACTATTCAGCCTGACAGCCACTAAATTTCGAACAGCGTAACGATCGTAAGGCTGCAGGAGGGGGAAATGGATCTCCGCGTCCGAGCCGTCCAGAAGAGGCCGCTAACTGGGGCTGTCGCGCGCGAGATCGACGAGAGCAGCGATTCTGAGCCGCCCCGAGAAGACTCCCGGGACGACGTCTGGCTCCCAACACCCGCTGCGAGCGGTGCTGGTTCGGGTGATGGAGAGTCTTCCGAGGCTTTCAGTGTGTCGGATGTAACCGATTTAACCAGCAGCACTAGCAAGGGTGGTCCCCCCACACGCGTGGTGGCATTACCACCCAACACGGTGGAGTTCGCCTCGTGGGAGGCCTTCGACGAGTACCTGGCTGCGTATGAAGCCCAAACGTTTCAAGTATGCGAGATTCATTCAAGATTTAATGAACGGATGTCTGACCCCGCTGTCCCACTAATTTTGTGCTATCTGTCTTGTAGATATTCAGAGCGCGCTCTAATACCAGCGTGGCAGAGCGCAATGCCAGGATTGACAAGTCACAGTCAAAAGCAGCTAAAATACCAGCATCGTGGGAGCAGTATTCGAGAACGTTCATTTGTACGCACTCAGGGAAGTACAAGTCTGTAGCTACGAAGCGGCCACGCCAAGAGACTCGAGCACAGGGCTGCAAGGCGCAGGTACATATATGTCGGCCTGGTCGGGACTGGTCGGGTCCAGTCGGGGTCAATCGGGTAGTTCACTGACTGACAGTGGTTATATATGCTCTACAGATTAATGTCTGCGTCCAGGTAGTTGATACGAAGAATACGACGTTTGCTGTGCGGATCACTCGTTGCCGACTAGAGCACAATCATCGTCTGACAAGCCTGGCTTTCTCTTCACATCCATCGAACCGCATTATCCTCGACGAGTCAACGCTAACTACAGTTGATCTACTTCGAAAAAAAGGTGTCAAGAAGTCTGGTATCATCAGCCACCTAATGAAGCACACCGACAGTAACCCCACCCCAAAAGATGTGAAAAACCTCGTCCAGAAACTAAAGGCTCGCGAACAACGCGATGGGCCTTCAAGCACTGACAAGCGGCTTAAGAAGTGGATGAAGCAATTTGGTGATGTGCCAGGGAACGTTGGTCGGGTTTTCTTGGACGACGTTGGTGGCAAGGTAGAGTGAATGCTTTTATCAGGTCTAATGTCAATTCATGAAGTTAACATTTGTTGTTTTGTGTGCTATTGGATACGCAGAAAGTTGCGACTTGCATCACATTGCAAACAAAGCACATGCGAACACTATTCGACCAATTTCCTGAAGTTCTGATGATTGACGCAACGCACGGGACGAGCCGGTCTAAGTATAAAGTTTTTTCATTCATGGCACACGATACGTTCGGCAAGGGCCAGTTTGTGCAGCACGCGCTGCTTCAAAATGAGCGCTATGAAACCCTGTTGACAGCAATAGAGGAATTCAAAGCGAACAATCCTGCGTGGTCAAGACTTCAATGTGTGCTGGTGGATAAGGATTTCACAGAACTGTCCGTACTTGAAAAGGCATTTCCTGGGGTGACAGTCTTACTTTGCCAATTCCACGTGCTGAAGTACCTACGGGAAGAGATTGCTTCAGCTGACTATGGATTTTCGAGGTCTCAGAAAGAGCAACTTGGCGGTGTTGTGAGCTTACTTGTCTACGCAAAAACGGAAGCAGAGTACGACAAACGCTTCCAGTACATGGTGCATCTTGCGTCGATTGGTTATGCCGGTCCAGTTGCGAATGATCGATCTGGTATCGTAGTCGGTGTGGAGTCGGGCTCAGTCGGTGTGGAGTCGGGCTCAGTCGGTGTGGAGTCGGGATCAGTCGGTGTAGAAGTCACAGATCATGAACTGGAAGATATTTCTTCTCGCATTGATGAACATCCTATTGTGAAGTACTTTCGAAAGAATTGGGACAGCTGTAGTGAGCTCTGGTGTGCACATAGGCGCCAGAATACCGTCACACTCGGCAATAATACCAACAATCGCCTAGAAGCCTCTTGGAAGCAGCTTAAAGAGTGGGTGGATTCGTTTATGGGTGCATCGCTTCGACCATGTACTATCAAACGTTACAAGAGCGATTGTTCATTGCAGAAGTATACAAGAATGTGACCGTCCAGCATCCTGATTACGACAGCGAGATGACACTGGTGGCGAATATTGTCAGTGAGCATGCTTGTGAACTTATATTTGGGCAGTATTCGTATGCTATTGGATCTGCGTCGTACACGTTTTATGAGGGGTGCCCAGACGTGTATTTTATCAAGAGTATATCTACAGCTGATGACGCGCTGGACGAGATGAACGCCGAGAATTCAGTTACTAAGCGCGAATGGAAGTGCTCCTGTCTATTCATGTGCACGAGATTGCTACCCTGCCGACACGTTTTCTACCTCCGAAAGGCTCTTGGTCAGGAGACAGTCATCCCCACACTACTGTTAAACAGGCGGTGGCTGTAGTCTACTGTGCGTGCGGCGATTGAAAATTCAAGTGTCGTCTCTGACACAGCGGAGCCAAAGTCTTTTGAGGTAAAAAATGTGATATCCTCACAGGCGAGACCGTGGGACTCGAACCGCAAATATCGTGAAGCACTGCAATTTGCATCCCAAATTTGTGACACCATGGCGGGACTCGGCATGACGCAGTATAAAGAAGCGATGCAGTATCTTCAAAGTGTGACTGGGCGGTTCAAGATAGGCAAATTCGAGGATCCCGGTGTGCCAATTTTACCACTAGCTGAATCTGAGCGTCACGGTTCGACTAGCAACTCGCGCGATGATGCGCTGTCGCCGCCACTACTTACTGGTCACGATCCGACTGCACGGCCGACTCACCACGTGTCGGCAGAACTGCTTACTCGTCATGCGGATACAGCAAATGTGAGTCATGTATCCCCAACTGCCTCTGAGTCTGACCATGCCACAAGCTGCAACTCCGTCGAAACAACACAGGTTGCAGATTTATCGGGCCAGTCGGTCTCGATCGGAGGCCAATCGGGCTCAATCGGGGGCATATCAGGTCCAGTCGAGGAAGAATCGGGTCCAGTCGGGGAAGAATTGGATCCAGTCGGGGAAGAATTGGATACAGTCGGGGACGTTGAATCAAGCACACTACCACCAGCAACGGAAGACACGCCATTTGTGATAGCGAGTCCTCCAAGATCGCGAGGACGACCCAGACAGACAGCCAGATCAAAGAAGGCAGCTCGTAAAAAACTGTCATTGTAGCTCAAGAAGACTCAGAGCTGTACGCTTCGAATTTAAGCTTGGCGTCCGTGGATGCAGCGCTGTCTTCGGATGCAACATACATATCGTCAGCTGCAGTTGTGAACGAGTTCAAAATGGTGGAGTATGGCTTCAAGTTCAAGACACCTACAGCCCGAACAATATCGAGCTTGCCACCCACAATCGCTTTGATACCAGCAGAGTCGATCACGCGGATATTGCGCCCTGAACAAATTGCCATTTGCAGGAAAAAGGTTTCGGCTCTGCAGTCGAAGCACAAAGGCCTAGCAGAAAGTGCCGTGGCGCTGGATATTCCAGGCTTTGGTGCGTACTCAACGAGTACAATTGGGATCATGAATAGGTGGCACAGGGCAATAAAGGTGGTAAAACAGGTCGAGAAGGCTGTGAAGTGGGTCGAAACCATTGACTTCACACTCCCAATGCCTGCTCCGTTTCAAGTGGTGCTACAGACGGATATGCTGTCAAAGATGCAGTCAATCCCGCTTTTGTCTGCAAAGGTACGTCGACGAAATCATGCCATCCCTACAACACTTTCGAACTAAACGTTATGTTTGACAAACAGGCAGAAATTCTAGATCTCGTCGGAAAAAAACAGCTAAGCGACGATACCATGAATATCGTGGTGTCCAAGCTGCTCGGAGAACGAAATGATGTCGTCATTGTGGATCCAGGTGTTATCGGTTCCATTGATAATGAAGATAGTCCTGTCAAAACCAGAGCCTTCGCTACAATTTTCGCGGGCAAGACGAACGAGAAAATTCTGATCCCTATATGCTGCAGCAACACGCATTGGTGCTGCGTAATGGTGAACTTAAATCTGAATGATGTGTGCATCTATGACCCAATGAGCTCCAGCTATGTCGTTAGAGTCCGAGCGATCGCAGAAAAGCTGGCAATGCAGCTGCCAAACTACGCACCAAGGAAATACCGAGTACACCACTACATGGGCGATCTAGGGGTACAAGTAGATTCATACAATTGTGGTATGTATGTTCTGCTGGCGTTTGAGGTATTCGCTGGTGCCAAGGTCTGTGCATGCTGAGTAGGAAGGAGTTACAGTATCTGCGCTACAGATACATATATATGTGTCTATAGTTAACTCTTTCAACAAGTTGATTTTGATTCTGCACTTACCAGTCCCACTGAGCTCTACTGAATAAAGTTTCTCATGCTCATGACATGATGCCGGTCGTACTTGCACGCTCAAACCACAAAGTCTTCACATCCGGATATACGTATACGGACGCTTGATTGCTCAACTGACTTATATTGTGTCGGCATTGATCGGGTGCTGTCGGGCACCATTAGCCTGTCTCTTCCACACCAGTCGGGTTGAATAGCAAGTGCCTTTTAAAAAAAGCACAAGACGGGTAAATATACCGGTATCTTCTCGGACTTTACATGTACCGGTATTGTTGCAGCGTATTTTTTAGTTTCAACCAATCATAAGTCTTAATTCCGCTTATTGGTCAAAAACCATTCTCGACACTGTGCTGTAACAGCTCCAACGGTGTGAACATCCGTCGGCATCTCCACGTCACCTCCACGCCTGGTATCTCCACCTCTGCTAAACCCACCGCGTTCTTTCAAATTGGAGCACGTGATCAAGACGATGAACTATATAGACGCCGCGCGCCGCGCTCCGTGGGTCGCTGTGTATTTGGCGGCAGGCGTTGGCGTGCTAGTGAACTTGCTGGGCGAGGCGTACTCCAATGCTCTCGACGTGTGCGAGATGTACCCGCACTTTTCTTTCCAGGAGACGATGCGTGAAGAGCTGAGTATGCACCACACGCGTCTGCCGCTGGTGCGTGTGCACGTACCCACGCTGCATCTTCTAGTCGCTTACATCGCCGCGTACGCTGCCAAACACTGGGGACTGCTGGACCGGAGCTGGCCGCTGCTGCGTGACTTGCTCTCGGGTCGCTGGCTGTACCATCAATTATTCGAGGTTCTGCCAACATAGTAAGTTGATTATCAAGCTGCGTTTTGACCGGGTTATAACCTCACTGACCTTGTTTTCTGATGGGTTAGCCTACCTTTCGCCTTGTCGGAACCAGAAGTGCCCGAGTTGCTGTCAGAAGATGAAGCTCAAGAAATGGATGATAACGAAGATGACGGGTACCTTGACGATGTTCCGCCTTCTCCACCTGTAGACAACGATGCGTGCAACGAAGCATTGGCCAAGCTAGTGCAAGTGAAGATGCAGCACGCTAACCGAACCATCGCACGGCCCGACGACTGGCTCGTGTTCGATCCCGTACAAGAGGAACTCGTGCTCCAGAAGAACGCTACTCATGCAAATGGTAGTGCACTCAATGGCCACGGCAATGGCTACAAAGTATCGCTCTCGCGTGCACAGGAACCAATAGGAGACGAGCAGACACCGATGTCTGCAGCAGCAGCAATGCGAGTGCACAAGGAGCCCCAGCGAGTGATCAGGACATGATTTTTTAGACACCGTATCCTATTCCTTCATGCAGCTATCCGTGCGAGTTGTGCGACATGCCACACCAGCAGAAAGTAAGTAAATAAGTCGCTCTCTCGCTTCTCTTGAGGTTATTCCTACCGCGCCCCGTCACTGGGAATCGTACACTGTTTCCTCTTCTAGCATCGACACCTTGGCGATTTGCCGCCACAGTCTGACAGAACCGCCAAACAAGAAGCTCACGATGCGCTTCAGAGTCTTAGGCGGCAGTTTGTCATCGCTCGGACGTCTGTCGCCACTGCCGAGCTGACAACAGAGCTGAATCGCGCGAAGAACCGCTCGAGGTGGCATGTGTCCAGTGCAGACAGCAGTCCAGCTTCGAAGCGCGGGCACAAGACACTGCAGACTTGCCAGGGACAGCGACAAGAGTTGGTTCTTCGTGCACCACGTGACACGTCCACGTGACGAGATGAAGACGAAGTGCTCGGCATCCCATAGCGTCATACTCGAGGCTTGAGCGATGCAGGCATAGCGTAAGTGTTCCAGACAACCGTCAAAGCCTTGGTTACCAGGTGCTGGGAAGAGTTTGCTGCAGACTTTCGAGTTCACCACTTCTTGCGGATAAAAGGCCCGCAGTTCGTTCATCACCACTTCGTTGTGTCCGCAGACCTTTCCGAACGCTCCGCCCCACTTCTCAGTGTCGACAGGCTCTTTGTTCGGCATCCACTTGCTTAAGAAGCTTGTGCTGTTGACGTTACCACGAGCTGCACAGAGTTTCTTACGGACCTCGACAGATGTTGCGTCTTTTGATGCTCCATGACGTACAGCGCCTTCCCATTGTCCGCCGTGTGCTTTCCCCTCTGCAAAGTCCATCCACTGCGTCTGAGCAGAAGTACGTTCATCGGTCATGGCTGTACCCACTGCAGCGCTCACAGTGACCAGACCCAGCGCTTCCAGCTTCTCACGACGGTGTTGGCTATCAGCCTCCTGGTCTCCACTCGATGCGTTAACTTTGGTGCCAGGCAATTTACGAGTGAGTACAACGTAGAGCTTGTCGGTCAACGCCTGCAGTCTCTGTTCATCCGGAGTCATTGCACGTTTCTTCTTCTTCTTCTTCTGGTCGTCGTCGTCATCGTCCAGATCCGCTCCTTTCGCAAACTTCCGTGTCCATTTGTCATCGTCCTGAGCAGCCCCAGTCTTACTAACACGCTGCGAGATCTCCACAATCTGTCGCGATAGTTTAAGTCGCGCTTGCAATTGCTGTAAACACGGCGTCGTCAGCTCTGGTCGGAACGTATTCGAACGCTCCAGCTCTTGACCAGCTGTGACGTGGTGTACGTGAGCGAACTTCGCTGTCGCCACGTCACTTGTGGCACTACTCACATCTCCTACCAGCGCTACATTCGCCTTAGTATTCGCTGTACTCGGTAACAACTGTTCAGTCGTCACCAGCACCATTGCATGCGCAGGTGACGATACAGACACCGACGTCTTGAGTCTCTGCACCGTTTCGTTCCTCTGCCCTGACGTCATCTTGCGGTGCAAAGCCACCGCTTGGAGTCCAAGATGCTTGAGCATAGCAGCTAGTTGGGCGGGAGTCGTCTGGTCATGATTGGGCAATGCCACTACACACGGGCGTGGCGTGTTGCGAGACAGCAAGACCCAGTAGAGTCCGGCAAGCACATCGGCGTCTCTCTTCACTCGCAGTGCCGTACAGGACGCACGACCGCCCTCCTCTCGCGTTAATTTGGCCGCACTAGATACAGTCACGTTGCTGACAATTGCCTTGTCCTCTTGCGTCTTCTTACGCTTCTTCTGAGATCTATCAGAATCGTTTTTGGTCACCTTGCGCTTTTTAAGCTGATTCTGCTGCTTCTTCTTGCTGTTCTGCCGCAGTTTCGACATACTACGACCTGAAGATTGCAGCATGGATGGATTCACGACCACCAGTGCGCCTCCTTTGGGCGCTGGGGGCCGCGTAGCCCCCGGTCCGCGACCACGATGCTTCCCCATGATCAAGCTTGTCAATGGCTACCACGTCGACAAATTTTCACTTGACTTAAGTATTTCACGTCGGCCTCAACATGTTGATGCGCAGATTTTTCTTGTGGCAACACCAGAATGCGGTGCACCACACCACAATGCAACGTACGTCAGTCTCTGGTCGTCATTCGTCCAAGTGTCCGCCAAACGTCACGAGCTTTAGATCCAGCAAACTATGACGACTGAGTGGACTCCTTCATCGTGGCGCCAATTCCCTGTCAAGCAGCAAGCTCCGTATCCTGACGAGAAGGCGCTCAAGCGAGCGCATGACAAGTGTAAGCACCAAAATGTGTCAATTTGTGTCAATGTGTCGATGCTCACACATTTGTTCCTACCTCTATTTGTTGTCAATAATACAGTGAAAACGCTTCCTGGACTGGTGTCTGTGCGAGAGATCGAGGACTTGAAGACGCAGCTCGCGGATGTGGCGGCGGGCAAGCGCTTCTTGCTGCAAGGCGGAGACTGCGCCGAGCGGTTCCAAGACTGCCAGCCCGAGTTGATCGAGAAAAAGCTCAAGATCATGATCCAGATGAGTCTCGTGCTGGTCTGGGGTGCGCGTATGCCTACGGTGCGTGTGGCGCGTATGGCTGGACAGTTCGCCAAGCCCCGGTCCAGCGACACGGAGATGCTGGACGGAGAGAGGGTGACCAGCTTCAGAGGCGAAAATATCAATGGATACGAGAAGGACCAGCGCACGCCGGACCCGAACCGACTGCTGGAGGGCTATTTCCACAGCGCAGCCACTTTGAATTACGGTCGTGTGCTGGTGAGCTCGGGTATTGCGGATATCCACGATGCCGGCAAGTGGGATCTGGACTTTGTGCAGACCTCGTCCCGACGTGAAGAGTACCAGCACATGGTGAACGAGATCACGGACAGTCTCCACTTCGTGCACATGTGTGGGGTTGGCGCTGACTCGCCGCACCTGAAAACGGTGGATCTCTTCGTGTCGCACGAAGGTCTGGAGCTCGGATACGAAGAAACGATGACTCGTAAGGTAGACGGGAAGTACTACAACGTGGGCACAGACTTTTTGTGGATTGGCGACCGTACACGTCAGCTGGATCACGCTCATATCGAGTACTTCCGCGGTATTGAGAACCCTATCGGTATTAAGGTCGGCCCCAGTATGGCTGTGGACGACCTGGTCCCGTTGATCCGTAAGTTGTGGAAGGACCCGGAGGCCAATCCGGGTAAGATCACTCTAATCACGCGTTACGGATGCGATAAGGTATCGGATGTACTCCCTAAACATATCGCGGCAGTGAAAGCTGCAGGTCTCAAGGTGATCTGGTCGTGTGACCCGTGTCACGGCAACACTATTGTGGCTGAGAATGGCTACAAGACGAGACCGTTCGACCGCATTTTCGGCGAATTAGAGCAGACGTTGGAGATCCATCGCGAGGCTGGATCGGCACTTGGCGGTGTCCATTTTGAGCTTACGGGCGAGAACGTTACCGAGTGTATTGGGGGCCCGCAGGGGATCGATGAAGGCGACCTGCCACTACGTTACACGAGCTACTGTGACCCTCGACTGAACTACTCGCAGAGCATGGAAGTGGCCTTCTTACTGGCTAAAAATCTGTCAGTTGCACACGACTTGGCTCCACTGAACGAGAAGTCCAAGCACCGCAAGCGCTCGATGGAGATTTCGGACCCGTCCAAGCGCCTTCGTGCTGATAAGTAGAGTAAGACAGGTCTGCTAAAGCAAGAAATAGATGAGCTTGGTGTTCTTTAGGCTACATCCGTCTCACGGATCTCGTTAACGCCAGCCAGTTCAACTTGATCTGGGTCAACAGCGGTGCTCTTGCTCAACGACTTGGCCTCCGCATCTTTTCCTCCATTTTGTTGTTTGCGCTTAAGTGTCGTGGTCGACGGGGCGTACAAGTAGCACAGTGTATACACGTAGATGTTGAATATCGTCTGAAGTGACGTCCACGCCCCACCGCTTGAAGGAGTGGGCGATAGCTCGCCACTAGCAAGGCCAGCGAACGATACGACCACCATCAAGACGCTTAGCACAATCAGGTAGCGATATCTCACACGACGAGCTCGAATCTCACGCATGCTCAGCACGATGAGCGTTAAATACCACACGATAAAGGCGGCACTTAGCAGTCCGCAAAGCGCTTTGAGGGAGGCAAAGTTGCTGTTCTCTGCTAGGGGGTCCCACGTGACGTCGTTGTTGCGGTTGTACTTGATGTAGCCATAGTAAATCACCATGATCAGCCAGAAAAACGCCACGAAGAGTAGCTTTGGGCCGAAGAACTTCAGGTTCGACACGCCGTTCTCCATGCCTTGAAGACGTAAATTGTCAATAACGACCAGCCAGAACAGTAGCAGCATCTGGAAGAAGGTAACTTGGAAGCCGACACTGAGAATCCGAGCTGCGTTGCTGCCATACGTGGCCTCAGTGAAGTAAAAGGGGTCGTTAAAGAGGATCAACGACAGCGCGAGAGCCATGACGAAGCCTTGCTCCACGTTCTGCTCTCGTGACGACAACTTGGTGACGCTGTAGATGTACCAGCCGGCGAAGAACGCAGACACGAACAGGAAGAGAAACTTTATGCCAATGAGCCAAGTGGTGAACGATTCAGTGCCCCATGTCTTGCGGAATTGGACGTTGGAGCTGCTCAACGCCAAGCTCTCGGTGGAGTTGAACAACACGTCCACTTGGTAGTCGTTGAAGTCGATGTCTCCAAATCGTAGGAAATAGGTGGGTTCACAGGACGTTGCACCTGCTTGACACTCGACAGTGACTGTCTTCTGAACGACGTCAGTGATGATGTTGGCGTACGTTTGATTGCCGCTACTCTCGTTGAGGTAGAACCCTTTGATGTGAGGCGTCATGGTAACGTCAAACGAGCGACTTGTCTTCTTTAAATTCGGGAACGAAGCTTCGAGGTAGAAGTAGCGGTTTAGTTGCTTGAATCCGTTAAGTCCGAACGAGTAGTGCACGACATGGAGACTTTGTTCGCGGCTGGTAAACGGCCGGTTTGTTCGGTTCGTGCAGGAGTCGAACATGCACGTCAGGACGGACCTTTGTTCGCTGATCGAGAGCCTCAGAACCTCGTCGATTGCAGACACTGTTCCGTTAGCATCGGCGTCTTTAGCGCTGACTGTACTGTTGGGGCCGAGGCACTCCTTGTACAGACTGATGGAGAAGTCCGACGTGCAGCGAGTCGGACTGCTCGTCCAGTCAGAGTTAGCCACAGCAGGGGAGCCACCGAAGCCGATCAGTACGAAGAGAGCGAGAAACGTGACAGCGATGCCCGAGACTAGCAACAGCTTCAACATGGAAATGACGTCGATCCGCATGAAGCTTCCATCTTCGCGCTCCTTGGTCTTCATTTTCTGTCGACAAGATTTTGAAGTGCTTCAGAGCGTTGGGAAATCGAAAATGATGCAGCGTACAGTTAGCAACAGCGTGGTGCGATGGAGCTTTCATTGTTTTTTACTAAGCTGTCCACCTAAATTCGTCCTGTGATATCCGTTTTCTTGAAACCCCTAGATCGAAGGTCGATGAAAAAGCAACGGCTACCATTGCGCTAGCTATATTTTTTTCTATAAGACTCTGCAGGCTCTCAACAACCAGAGATGAACTTCTTGCTTCAAACGGATAGTTTTAATGATGATCGAATGACCGAATCACGGAACTGAATAGCCCTCCTCTGCTACATGTTTTCTTAGGATACAATCACGTTAGTCATATTTACAAGGCCAGATACTTGTCGTTCTTGTTATTCGTCTCCTGTTCGACAAGCAGCTATTATAGCGTCTACACTGTCTGCATAATTAGCGTACTATGTATGCTCACGGATGTCGGCTACAGAATTCGACCTAGAGAATATAGCATCGCTCGAATGTTATCCATGAGCTGAAAGCTTAGAGCTACACACCCGTAGCATGCCGACCTAAGCAACTTTGTTTGGCTTCCGGTGCAGCCTGTCAGAACATATGAGCGCTACAGACTAAGACATTAAAAACAAATTGATAATATTAATCCGTATCAGCATATTCATTGCGAGTAGCTCGAGTTTCACGGAAATTGACAGCTTCGATAAATTTCGCTAGCTCTGTCTCGTTTGCGGGCGGCAAATCGGTTCCGTACAGAGCAAGAAGCTCAACTGATGAGAAGCCAGTGAGGAACTCGGATGCCTTCTCCATGCATGACGCGCAAAACGCCAATCGATTGCTGCAGGAAGAACAGGCTTGGAGAATGTGGACAAACTCGGCTTCTGTCGATGCAAAGAGGCTCATTGCAGGGGACAGCTTTCTCATCAACCGCTCGAGCTCACGCTTGTCTGAATATTCATCAACTATAGATCAGAGCTTCGCTTCGCACGAACTAAATATCAAGATACGTCACCTCGAATCACAGTTTCGTTTGCCCTGTCCTGTTCCAGCAGTTGGAGCTCATCATGGCTGCCAAATGCCGAATGTGGGGGATAGTGACGGCGTTTTGATTCACAAATAGAGCGAAGCTCTCGATCGCACTGATCTTTGAGCTGCAGGGCTCGCTCCAGCTTCATCGTCCTAGGATGTTGCTATAGCAACTGAAAACTCGGACAAATATGTGTCGTTCAGCTCGACTTTTCTCGTCGGGGTAGCTGTACCTTGAGGTTGTAAAGTGGCTTAATCACTGTTAAAGGTTTCGATCCTCTTAGCTTTTAGTTGTTTTACCTTAAACCGTGCCGAGCAGGTCACTAAAAGGCCAAGCGTGCGTCGAGTAGTCGATGAGGATAGCTTCGCTATTTCAGTTTAAATAAACACCTGTGTCGTGCGCTGTGGTTGTTTGATAATGCGTTCCTGGTCAAAAGCGTATTTAAATGCAATATAATACCACCGCACAAGTTTGCCTCGCAAGGAGCATCAGGACACGAAGTCACCGGTAGCTATTTTTGCTCTACTGTAGTACAGTATCCGCAAAATTAGATATACAGGAGTCTATTTTCAAATCTCGGATAGTATTTTTTATTGGCGCCCATGTTTTCTAAAAGGGTTAGGTGGCCAAATAATATGTACTGTACATATATCTCAATGTTTTGCCTATGATTCTAAATGTTTGTGATATGGCGCGACATGGGCAACCATATATTTACAGTAGTGTGTGAAGATTGAAGAATACGATCACTTCAGCATGTCGGACATCTCTCAACTACTGTAATGCATCGCCAAATTATCTTTGTAGTGAGAGATTTTCCTGCTCATGTCGAAGCTTGGTGAAGTCATGACAACATAAAAACATGAAAACATGTACGGTTTTAGACTTAGAAACTGTGCCTACTCAGCTAGCTTCTTTTTGCGCTTCCTTTGTCGCTGAGCTCTATGACGGTACGCAGGATATCCCATCGACTGCGTAGAAATCCTTTCGTCGTGTAAGAGCTGCCTGCTCCCTTCTAGAACCGGCGCCAGAAGTGCAAACAAATGAATACCCCGCAGTTATTGCCGTCGCTCTGAATGGGACAATGCACGGCCATGCCACTAATGCCTTCGAAAGACTTTATTTTACGATCTCATCTGCCAGCTCTGCAAGCAAGTTATAGTTTGCGCGCTTGCCCATGATATCGTAGCAGCACACACTCTGCGTAGACTCATCCACCACGATGCACGTCCAGTAAGCTCCGTTAATATTCAGCGGCGTAAATTCGCTCCAAGATGGCTGCTGCTGTCAAGCTAAGTGTCGTGCGTGGAATGCGCAAAAGGCCTGCTTGAACGCATAAGTGATATTAGAAAGACGTACAAACAGCGGTGGAAGGAAGGGACCAGAAAATGTAACAAATTCAAACACACGGTCACATATTGCACGTTAGAGGCCTTATTAGATTTGAAAGGTCCGAAAAATTCGCGCACCTGTGGCCACGAACTGCCGAGAAGAGGGGGGATTGCGAAGCAAATCTGTCCTAGGCGGAAGTGAAGGGTTCGAGGGCGCGCGGAGCCGAAGGAGGGAGGAAATTCAAGCTTCTGGCAAGCGGGGCAGAAAGTTAAGTGGCCACAAATCAGTAATTTAAAATTGTAATTTAACATATTGGTAGAAACATAGGCTGCAGATTTACCGTTTTTAATTTAAGATGTTGGCTACAGGATAATTACTTATGGATTTGATATTTTCCAACACGTAATTTATTGCTGCAACAGCCACCAGTTTAAGTTGGCTCTGAGCTCCTTGCAAATAGATGCTGCTGTCTCGATTTCACTTTTTAATTCGCTCGCACCCCAAACAGTCAGCCTCTCGCTACCTTAGCCATTGTCACGGTCTTCGGCTAGAGGAAGGACTCGCTATTCTGGACGACTGCCTACGGCAATTTAGCGAGCGGCGTAAGAAGAGCGTCAGACCCGATCAGTCTCATTCCCCGTCGCCGACTACCTCGTCCCTAGTCTAAAATGGAGCGAAGGAGTCCAGACAGTGGTACGCTGACTCCGTTTACAAACGACAACTAGAGGTACTGGTGTTGGTAGGAGGTACTTTGGCAAGTTAGAGAGCTGGTGAGAGAGCCCTCAGTCGTGAATTTCCTTCTTTTACGAGAAGTGCTCAAGAAAAACAAATAAGAAACAAGTATATTTTACACATCTAATACGTCTAAGTTCCTACGTCGGCTTTCACAAGATACACGACCCCGACAAGAGAAGGAGACCGCGACAATTTGGTGGAGAAGCAGGGTATCTTCTAGCCAAATTTCGTAGGAACGTAAAAGAGAAGAAGCGGAGAGAGCCGCTTGGGAAACCCTAGCGTCGAAGTACGCGGGCGAAGGTGCAAGGGAGCCGGGACGAGATGAGCTCCCTAAACTGGAACGATCCAATAGAGGACGAAGAGCAGCGCCTCGCACGGATCCTGGCGGATGCTGACGAGGACCAGATCGCGGACGCCACGGCAGCCACGGAAAACGAAGGCGGCGAAGTGGATCCCCGAACGCATGGTGAAACCGGAGAGACGGCTGAGGTCCGAACGGAACGAAAGGTAGAAGGGCTAAGGGAGCGAGCGACCCAGGAGGACGACGAAAGCTTGTTTGGCGCGTCACCACGAGCCGAGGAGAACCGAAGAATGTTCATGACGATGTTGGGGACACCCCAGGACAGAGCCAGCTTCCAAGCGTTCCTCGGGACTCTAGCAGATCGACCGACCCCCAGAGAGGAGCAGGCGCGGTCACGAGAGGCAAGAGAGGCCGAGACGGCGGGTTCTGGAACGCGAAGGGGAGTGTCGTTCTCGCTGGATCCGTCTCGACCGTCGCTAACTCACGTGGACGAGACTCAGCGGGAGGCGCCCTCGGCGACGACAGCTGAGTAATCGCAGGAGGAGGATGTTGGAGGACTGTATGAGGGCGACGTTCCCGCATCTTGGTCGCGCTTTCGAAGTACGACCGACTTTCAAGCTGAACCTTTGAACGGGGTGGAACGTCACTGGGCGTCAAGTGCAACTTTGCAAGCCCCTACCACGACGGTACGCCGCGGAACGACACCTGCTAGTCAAAACGCGACGCCGGCGAACCAAGGAACGACGCCCACGAGTCATGGAACGATCCCTGCGAGGGACGGAACGACGTCTACGAGTGAAGGGACGGCGAAGGTGGACCCGGCTCTTCAAGCCTTTACCGTCAACACTATCGGCTAGGCGATGCAACAGATGGCTATGTCAAGTGGATCTGTAGGTGTGCAACGCTCCCAGTCTAGGGACCAAGGGTCAAGAACGGTGGAGGCCTCGCCTCGATACTCAATGAACGAGTTGGATCGGCTGATGGACCCCGAGGAGTGGATCCCGTAGTCCCGGGAGAGGAGAGACTATGTCTCGATCAACCCCTGAAGTTCGAACAGGCGGACCATCGTTTCCAACCCCTTTATACGAGAAGGTATCCGACCGAGCACCCTGAACGTACGAAGGAAGCGGAGCGTACGGCTCGCCGAGACAATATCCGTCCTCGAATCCGTTTGGTCCGATGTTGCCGCCGGGTTGGAACCCGCTTGAGATGCCTCCTACTTACCCGTCCACGCCTATGACTACGCCTTCAATGCCGGCCGGAGCGAGAGCGGAGAAAACGCTGAATTGGGGAACGAAGCCGACCGTCGAAAGATCGTTCCAAGGTCACGAAGGAGACCCGAGACTCAGTGGAAACGTGGGGTTTGACCGAGAACGATACCCGAGATATGCGACGCCTCACCCAACTGCTTCCTTGGCCCAATATGCGGGACGTGAGCCGCATGACTATGGCCGAGGGCTCGCTCCGATGGTGGGATCCCGAACGAATTGAGGAACGCAGTCAAAGTAATCGTTCCATTTTATTCGGACACGGCCTCGAGTGAGCGAGCTGCGGCGTTTTGGCGCTCGTTCGAGAAATGTACGATGGACATGGACGATCAACTGCGCTTGACGGCTTTCGAACAGTGTCTGAAGGGAAAAAAGGGACAAGAAAGGTGGTACAACTCGAGGATCCATAACTTTGAGTCGCTTCGTTCCAGATTTCACAACCGGTTCGTTTGCCTGACTCCGGCCCAAACCTGGACCCGCTTTAAGACGACTGCGAGGAAACGAGGCGAGTCTGCCGAGGAGTGGGGTGATCGACTCGAGACAATATGCGACGCACTGAACTTACCCGAACCCCGCATGAGGTACGAGTTCTTCCTTGAGGGAATAAGAAACAAACAGATGCGAGCGGTGCTGAACGGTAATATGATTGGGTCTATTGAGCAAGCCTGTCGTATTCTGCTGTTCAAGAATCTTCACCTGCCTATCGAAGAAGACGATGAATTTCCCGAGGATGGAGCGAAGCCTCTGGGCACGAAGAATGTACCCTCGACGGAGTTACAGGTACTTCAAGAGTTGCAACTGCTAAATCGGAACGTGCAAAACCATTCTGGAACGAGCGATGGATACATAGGCGCTGTGACTTTGAACGATCAGAAACCGACTAGTCCTTCGAACGGAGGAGTGAGTGCTGAACTGGGGCCTCCCAACATTCGCACGGGTCCCGATAGTCGTACCGCAGAAGGAGAAGTGGTGTGGTTGAGAGACGTGTCCTCGCGCGAGAGGCCTGTGTAATCGCTGTCACCAATTTGGTCACTACTCCATGGAGTGTAGCTTGCCTAGGAGAACGAGTGGGAATCGATTTGGAGATCACCGGACCGCGGAGTGTTTCTTCTGTCGACAACCGGATCATGGCGTGACCGACTGCCCCGAGATCTAGAAACTACGTAGTCTCTCGAGGAATGCCGTAGCAAGTGGAACGGTGACTGCTCAAAGTGCGGCTACACCGACTAGAATGTCCCGACAATGAAGGGGGCAAGAGGGAGGGGAAAGAAGTGTCGCTCTTTCCTCTTGCCAGGTTGGCGACACAAAAGGAGATGAAGGTTCACAGCTAAGTGGATTTGGTGGACCTGAGAGGGCTCCCGAGGTTGGTGTGAATACTGGAGTAAACGCTCGGAATGTTCCCGTTGCGAGCGTGACGACTGAAAATGCGGATGTTGTGATTGGAATGAGCAGTCTAACGGAACGGACTGGTTCAAGGTACGAAAGAGAAGAGGAAGTCTCTATGAGGGGACCGGAAGTGGGGATGGAACGAGAGGGAGGAGCAACGGAAAGCTCCGTAATAACAATGAAGTGTGAAGGTGGAACGAAGGATCGTTCCAATTGGGCACAGGACGTCGATCAAGGGACAACGGAACGTCCCGAGGATGCGTTGAAGACCCAGGAAGGAGCAACGGAAAGCTCCTTGGTAACATTGGAGAGTGAATTTGGAACGAAGGATCGTTCCAATTGGGCACAGGACGTCGATCAAGGGACAACGAAACGTCCCGAGGATGCGTTGAAGACCCAGGAAGGAGCAATGGAAAGCTCCTTGGTAACATTGGAGAGTGAATTTGGAACGAAGGATCGTTCCAATTGGGCACAGGACGTCGATCAAGGGACAACGGAGCGTCCCGAGGATGCGTTGAAGACCCAGGAAGAGTGCGGCGGAAGAACGGAAGCGAACGAGCTGTCCGGCAAGTCTACACGTGACGAACAGGCACTCGAGACAAAGACGGAAGACGTGGTGGGCGTCAAGACTAACCTGTTTGCAGCCGTGATCGGAGTAGTGGATGCTCCTGAGGAGGGTGATACAGTTCCCGAAGCTGAGCTGAATACGGAACGTACCAAGGCGAAGGACGCATCGAGCAATTATGATCGTCTGTTTACCGACGAGGAGCTGGACATGCTCGAGCGCGGTGACGATCCGATAGTGAAGAGTGAGCCCGAGGAGTACGACAAGGAGCTGGAAGAGCGGCTGTTTCCGTTGGATGCCGAGAAGATTCAGTCACGAGTAGCACAGAACGCTAGCAAGCAGGAGAAGCCGTCCCTTGCAGAACTAAGTGAGCAACTGGGAAAATCGGAAGAAGTGCTGGAGCGCACAAGGGAAGTATCTACGGGAGAGATGAGGAAGCCAGAGTACTGGCTAGGTTGGTACGAGAGGACACTGGAGAACTCAGCAGCGGCCAGGCGTGCTGATCGAAACTTTAAGGGCGAAACGGGAACGACGGAGACTGCGTCGCCCGTCAGCGCTATCACCCAAGAAGAGAACGATGACAGTGCATCGG